CACAGCTAAGACTTACAGCTTTCGTCAGACACCTCACTCCCCCTTATTCATGTTTTATTTGAAAGCACTTTCCAGATCTATTCATACGAGGACCGTCATACACGTAAGGGCATGCTGTGGAGGGCATCCTCTGTCTACCAAAACACTGTATTCAACCATCTATCACATGCTTTGCACTTTGGTCTTACTCTTGTTCGACAGAACATGTTGTTAATTAGCTTGTGCCCCCCGATAATTTTTCCTAGGCATGACCAAACTTTTCTCGCTCATTTGTCTATGCATGTTCTCCAAATGGTGCAAGTGTTGTCGCTGTGCAAAGTTCTGCGCTGCTTCCATTCTTTCCACTTACATGGAGTTTTTAGCAAGAAAGTGTGGACGATGATTCGTTTCCGGATACGGACCCTGTGCTGCCCGATGTTCCAAGTTTTTCAAATACTCAACTTTCGGCAAGTTTCATGCGAGATGCCCTTTCGTTAGGTAGTCTCATTAAGATTTTAGGTCCTCAGCAGAGAAGACCCTATTTTCGGACAACAATATGTTAATGGCTCCATATTCCGGAATAAAATCGATTACCTCATCTTCAAAACGCACACGGTCTCGTTAGAGCATTTGGTAAGGGGCTCTTTTTTTAGAGAATATTTCCTGTCCACCGACCTTATCTACTCGCTGACAATGCAAAAATTTGTTTAAACAGCGCGAATTCAACCTTTGAGAGCTTAGGCACGCGCCACTTGGTCCATCGTTTCAACCACGGAGCTATTGGTCAGTTCACTGATTTGACCAATAGTAAAATGAATGAAGCGGATCAAGGGAATCAAAGATGGCGCGCGCCTTAGCTGCTCGAATGGCTGCTCGGTTTTTATATACGCGTCGCAACCGCGTCGCCTCACTGGTCGCAGCTCGCTGCATTTTCTGCGTTCTGAATAATTCATATACGCCTTGTCATTCATTTAAAGATAAAGTCCAAAACACTAATACAATCATTTAGGCATTTCGAATCGAATTATTCCATGAAATGGATCGTATAGGAATTGCATACGCTCTACCAGCTGCATTGCCCGATCTCTATGGAAAAGCTACTTTCCCCATTATTTCCTTAAGGAATATTCCCATTGGGCAAATTGACAGTAAGCACCCATAGAGTCTCACTATCTCTGGCAGCAGAATAATGCTCATTTAGTTGACTACATGCTGGTAAAATCCTTGCCTGTCGATCGCTCTATACGCGATAACGTGTTAGTCTCATGGGGAAGGTACTGGAGGAAACGCACTACATTAGAAGTTGGACACAGAGGTATGGGAAGCTCCTATACCAAGTAAGTTTCCTCCCGTTCTCCACCATTAAGTAAGAACCGCCAGAATTTCGTAGCTGTCTTTATCTTCAGAATGGCAGTAGCTCGAGAAAATACGATACACTCGTTGAGCGAAGCGGCAAGAAAAGGTGCCGACTATGTCGAATTCGACGTACAGCTGACGAAGGTACAAATTCTAGCTAATGACTCTGCTTTCAAACAGAGACCAGAGTCGTTCGTGCCAGCGCCGTGACAGCGCCGTGCCGGAAAGTCGATTGAAAAATACGAGGTGCGCGCAGTTCGGCTTCGGTACGGCACTAGCGCGGCGCTGGCATTGCTTCGGCTGGGCAACTCTGGACGCAGCTTTAGAGGCTTCGATTTTTGACTGAACTGCCTATGTCTTATTTCTACAGGATATGCAACCCGTAATATATCACGATTTTCACGTGATGGTTGAAGTGGCTGGCAGAAAACGCGATCTATTTGGTCATAGAAGACATCATCAGTTGGCTATCAAGGTAAGAGAAAATCACAGATTTGTTGAAAATTTGCACAATGTGCTCAGATGATGATCAAAAAATCTTTCCTAGGATCTAAGCCTCGATCAGCTCCATCTTCTTCACCTAGAACATCCTGATGAACACCTCAATATGGCATGGAGAGTGACACCTAGTGAAGAAGAGGAAGATGAAGACGATAATAATCCTTTCCCTCACCTAAGAAAAGTTCTCGACTCTGTCAGCCTTGATGTAGGATTTAATATAGAAATCAAATATCCGATGAAACTGAAGGTAAGAGAGAGGCTCAAATACGATTATTTGCAAATTCAAGTTGTTTGAGGATGGAACTCATGAGTGTCCTGCCTACAACATGGAGCGAAATGATTTTGTAGATGTGATCCTGAGAACTGTCATAGAGTACGCTGGTAGAAGAAGAGTGATATTTTCTAGCTTCGATCCGGATGTCTGCAGTTTGTGCGTGTTTGATAGAAAACTTTTAACATTAACTTAGAGCTTGTCTTCCAGAATTACCCTGAAACAACATATATACCCTGTCATGCTGTTAGTTGTGGGTCCCACCACGCGATACACACCCTTCCAGGTATCTCATTTTAGCCTTCTCAAACTTTCTTTCATCAAAACGTTGCAGGATATTCGCTGTGATTGCTCAAAACTCGCCGTAAATTTTGCTGCCGGCAACGGACTTCTAGGTGTTAATTTTCATAGCGAAGAATTACTACAGGTGAGTGCACACAGACAAAGTGGTCCCTAG